CGGCCTTGCCCAACACAAGTTATAAATTCGAGCACCGCCGGGAATCGAACTCGAGACCCCAGGATTACAAGGTCAGCGTTCTAACCGCTAGACCACCGTGGCTTAAGGTTACGATTATAAAACTGCAAAGTTTCGTCCAGAAATGAATATTATAGATCGTGTCGTTACATCGAAAGAAAATTACGAACAGAATCATCATTTAATTTCTTCAGCTGTGTTAAAACACAAGGGGGCCGACGGCGGTCCGCATACCACCGTTTGAATAACAGTGGTTATTAAAAAAAAACATTGGCCTTATGTCACTTTTGTTACAATACCAGGTCTGGCGGTCTACGTTGGGAGTAGGTGGGAACTTGTTGAGTGAAGGAGAAGGAGGGGAGTGGGTTACTAGCAGCCGCGGGAGTAGGGGAGGGGGGGATAGTTATAAGAGTAAATCACATGGCTCACTCAAAGCAGAACTGTACGCATTGCATTGTGGGATTCTTTCGGCAAGTTGCAGTATAGTGGTCTACGTGTTGAAAACATTATCACGTGTGAATTTTTTATAGGTTAGAAGTCTCGTCTGGTTTTTATTTGATCGAAGTAATTCTATTCCTGTGTTCTGTTCTTGTCGAGGTGAAGTTTGTGTGTGTGATCCTGTTGAGGTAAGTGAACCCACGTGGAAAAATCTAATCGCTCACTTTAACCCTGCGAGGCATCGAGCTCGAATGAACATATAAAACTGAGATGGCCGGTGGTTATAAAAACTACATTTAGGTTAGGTTTAAGATTAAGATGATTGTCTTATGGGGCGTTGATGGTATTTCGCAGCAAGGACCTATGAAAAGTCTAATGTTTTACAAGACCAAACAGCTCGACTCCACAGAATACAGTCATCTTGATACTACATTTGTTATGAAGAATATTATATATATATATATTTTAATGGTATTAAAGTTTCCCACGCAACGCCCACTCGTCCTAGTAAAGGTATGATACAGAGAACGCTTCGGGAAGTGTTTAATTATGTATCTAGGCAGCAGAAGGTCCTTCGAGAATTATTTTGTATTAAATAATGAAGTTTGAGGTGACTTTGAGAAAGGGTGCTGTTGTGACGAAACATCGATAGCATAAAATATGCAAAACTTTTGTACCGCCATAGTTTTATGTCGAACATAAATCCTCACCAGTTGTACTCGATGTCTTTCAGTCGTTGTTCATTAACAATACGTACGTTTTAATTTAGTTACCTTAAGATTTGAAAAAAAAGCAACGTTTGCTGTATATACCTGTTATCACATGTGTTATTGATGAATTGACAGGCGACTGAAGACAACTACGAAAGGAGGAGATTAATAATTTAGGATTATAATATCTAAGGGAATTACATGGACGGGGCATATAGCACGCATAGGGAGATGGGAAATGCGTTCAACATTGTGGCTGGTAATCCTAAAGACTCGTAAGTCCTAGACGAAGAAGGATAATATTAAAATGTAAGTTAGGGAAATATGGTTTGGGGATATGAACTGCATTAATCTGTTTTAGGGTAAGGGTCGGTGGCGGGCTGTTGTGAACACTGTACTGAATTTTTGTGTTCCATAAATGAAGGAATTTCTTAACCACTATCAGTTTCCCAAGCAGGGCGGTGATGAATGGAATTAATTAAATGGAATTTCCCTCTCCCTGTGTTTTATCATCTCAGCTATTACTGGGTTACAAGCAGACCTATTCTGATAATGGATATTTTATTATTTAACGATGCTGTTTTAACTACATGTTTACTCAGCATCAAACGAGGTGAGAAGCTAATCATTAAATGGAAATTGACTATCTGTGTCTGGCAGAAGGCTGTATATATGCCAATTACTTTACTTAACGAGGATTTCTAAACTGGATAAATTACGTAACTCCCAATCAGTGCACATTGCATTGAAAAATGGAACAAAGCGATTGAGTTTGGCTGATCGATAAAACGTTTTGGTAACTATATGTACCAGATACTTCAACATTAATCATAGATCTTCATTTTTTGGACATATTTATTTGCGTGTTTCATGTAATTCTCACTTTAAACAGAGATTATTTCCTTAAACGGCGTAAACTACTTCATCTTTGTAATGGTAAAATGTAGTGTTTTCTTTGCGGTACGGACTGGATGCGTAAATATTATTTAGACATACATATCTGATTTCACTGTCATGGAAACCATAAGTCTCATTGGAAAATTCTCACGCAACCTAACCTAACTAAACCTAACCTAACCTAACCAAACCAAACTCCTAATAATGACAAGACTTTACAATTTTGCATAGGACAAACTACTTAAGGCGAATTTAGGCTATTTTAGGTAGTATTTATAACAACCAATCAGAGCAGCAAAATTCTGTTTCTGTTGTAAAATTCTCCTGATAATAATGCCACGTTCATAACATTCACTACCACGCACTAAACTTTTCTACGAACGCTGACTAATTTTGCGAATCCCGATGTGTTCCGTGAATCACAATTTTGGAATGCACGCCCTGGCGGAAAGTGAAATAACTTGTCTGGCAAAAGAATGTACGGGCAGAATTCATGAATCAGTGATCTGTTGCCAAGAGACGTAATATGGTAAGATTTCTTTAGGATACAGTCCGAGCAACAACCAAATGAACCATAATTTCATTATATCACTGCATTTATCACAGAGAAATGGAATGGAACAATCAGGCACGAGATTCCACGGAAAGTAGTCGCCTTTATCGTATTTATAAAACATCATCAAAAAGCTGCCTAATGACAGCTGCACATGTAAACTGAAGAACACTGTCACCTTGCGTGATTGCTGGGAAATTTATCAGTGTAGGAATGTTATGTGTTAGCGTACAGCAATGTTGAGAATGTCTTAGTCCGACTGTACGTCCAACTTTAACGTTATTTCTCACCGTTCAATTACCGATGAAATAAAACTCGCTCTCCTCTGACAAGTGATAACATCTTTCTAGCAGAAAAAAACAAACGAACCCAAATCCTCGGCATATAAACATTTCGAAAAGTTGTTAAATATTTTAAAATAGTGTCAGAAGTGATTCAGAGAACGCGTGTAGGAGGTTTTGCGAGTTATTAATTCATTACCTTGACACTAGTAGGAAAAAAACAAAGTTGATACGTGGTTCTTTACACTCACATAAAACAAACCAAAGGTAAAGATTAATCTGGGGCTAATTTCATTGAATCAAATTTACGTGAGTTATTTTATGCCACGGTGGTCTAGCGGTTAGAACGCTGGCCTTGTAATCCTGGGGTCTCGGGTTCTATTCCCGGCGGTGCCCGAATTTATAACTTGTGTTGGGCAAGGCCGTGGTCTAGGCAACACGGAGTTTTCCTCCGTGGCATCCCAACAATTACTCCATTCACACACAGAAGAAGGCAATGGCAAACCACTTCTGGATCATCTGCCAAGAACGTATATGAACAGGTCCCAGTCCGAGAAAAGAATGGAAGGATCCTGTTCATATGGACCTGTCGTCAGACAGAACACTAAATAAAAAAATAGAAGAGCAGTCCGTCACAATATATTTAATACTGACCGTTAACGTTTATGCAACAAAAATTACAGGCCAAGGATTCTAGATGCTGAACTTTAGAACTTAAACCTCCCAGACTTACCCACGTCATGAAAGAGTGGTTATAATTCCTACTTCGGGGGTACAGAGACCGGTTCTTTTCGCCGAGGTATTCCGTGATTTTCCTTAGTCACTGAAGGAAATTGCGTGGGATAGTACCTTAAATTAGGCCAGAAGGACTTTCTTTCATATCCCTTCCAATTCATTAACAATCCCATCATTCGACGTTATTTTATCTGACGCACTGACAGCGTCAGATTTAGATAAAATTTATTAATTAGCAAATAATTATTTATAATATTACAGTTTTTTTTGGTACTAAGAATGCTTAATATCCGTCGAGGGTCAACCACGAATAACTTCAAACTAATCGATAGTTCGACCAGACGCTGATAACGATTCTAAGACGACTCATGCCAAGAATCGATTCTTGTTAATTTTAAGATGAGCTGCATCAGTATACAGATTACCACTTCAATTAGTTTAAAATTCTTCCGTTTATGACTTACACAGCAAACCAGTTCGTGTGCTTTGAATAATTAGGATAGGATAATCTCATTACAGTCTCTCCACCAATTAGAGTAATTGTATAACAAAGCTTGTATAGTAACGCTCGAATACTAATAATTACTTTCGTAAACATTCCAAAGGAATTACTAATTTTTACAGTACCTGTCTAAAACATCAATCAACCATGATTACGTCTTGTGGATGAATGTCAGAGCAGATCGAATTAAAATATTGTATTAATTGTAAATACAGACGTAAACTCTAAAGATAAACGTGTTTTCAGGTGACAGTTTAATATATAAATGCTGTTTAAACCCTTTGAAGCCTAAACTCGACCTACTTATTATTTTAAGATCCAGACCGTACCGCGAAGAAAACACTACACTTCACCATTACACAGATCAAATGGTTAGCGCTGTCCAAGGAATTAATCGATGCTTACTTCGAGATTCATACGAAATCGATAACTGTACTGTGGTATATATAGTTACAGCAAGATTTAAAGTTTAAGCATGTATTTTTTTCTGAGAATTTATTCCAACGTTTCGTGTGGTTTTAAAGTTTACGTTCGCGTATGTTCTCCCTCGTCTACCCCCCCCTCCTCAGCTACCCAGAATGCGTTTGCAACCTCGTTAATATTACGAATTTAGTAACATTATGCGATGAATTGAAAATTTTAGTTGAAAATCGCAAATTTGAAGCCAGTTTGCTCTTACTACGAATAATATTCCGTTCACAAATTTATTTTAATGCTATCTGATAGACCTGTTAAAGTAGCCGACATTAAATTGCATGCACCAAGGAAAATAGGTACAGATTCTCAACATTACAGGAAGCTGTAATCTTCAGTCAACCGCGGATAAAATGTCAGAACATCAGGCATCTTAATGTATCATTTAATCACGTTGTAAATGAAAGTAGTTTTCCAGACGAGAGACGTTTCAATGATCCGTGATGGATGGCGTATGTTTTACAACTCGTCTGATAGCTTAATGATTTATAATTTACGTAAATTTTAACGCGGGAAGATGAAATTATGAGCAGCTTTACATCGCGAATTTGAATACAGAAGAAACGAGATTTATATTCCCAATGTCACTTCCTTTATTGACTGCTTTGCATATAATTGACAAGAATTATACCTGGGGAAGTTAATATATTTCTTTATATGTAAATTACAGAATTCATACAGCGGTTTCATGTAATTCTTGTGACATGTTAAAATGATTTATAATTAATTTGTTGGAGGGTTTTGTGTTTTGAGTTAAATAAGAATTACTAAATACGAAATCGTATTAACATTAACCTTCCTAACGCTAAGTTTTATTAAGATTTCAGGTTATCACGGTGGTGAGTGAGATATTATCTTCTGGGTTGTTAAGCCGTATAGTCTGATATAAGTCTACCGACGTTTCAGAGATGTTTGTTGTCTCCAACATCTCATCGCCCTGATGATGGAAGTATCAAACACCTCTGAAACGTCTGTAAACTTGTACGGAACTACACCAAAGCGCAATAACTCAGAAAAAAATCTTCAACATTGCCTTTTATGTACATGTCATGAAACAAATGACGAGTTAATGACTGTCGAGTGAACTATTCGGACAGAAATACGTCATTTGTGTCATGCTATGGCATTCGAAGACTTCTGAGAAAGACGTATTGTTATGACGGCGTGCGGGGTCTTCGATTTAGGATCGGCTTTCACTGCACACTTCCCCAAGCCAAGCCTATATTATTTACCTCGTTACACAAGTAACACCGATGACAAGCCGTCGCTTGTAATTTTATTAATAATAAAGGCGCTTTATTTACAGAACTGAACCAAACAAAGCCATATATAGAATTCGCCCGTTGCCCTATCTGCTATAAATCGGAATATTGATAAAGAAGTGTGAAGTCTGGTAGTTTACCGATGCCATTAACTCATCTCCCTGATGATGGAGGCTGCAAACATATGTGAAACGTTGGTAAACGTCTACCAGATTTTTTAAAACATTCTGGTTGATAGATGTACTTCGGGCTACGAACTAAATACCTCCATTTAACAGAGTCATCCTTCAGAAGTTAGTATATACTCATCTAGTCAAGTAATTTCCCGACTTTTATTGAACTCAAATATTCATTACCGTATACACAAAAGCCCGCGACGTGTCCCTATTCTGATCCAGATGAATCCAATCCACAATCTCCAGTCTTTACGTCAACATTTTGTATGGCAGAATATTTTAAATCCTTACTTACTGTTCGTGAACATGTTCTCTCTGCAGTGAAATAGTGTCGTTAAATAACCTAAGAATCAACTGGACTACTTTCCTTATTCCACATGGAAAAATAATCTTATGAGAAAATAAAATCCATGTATGTCAGTCTGAGCCAAGATTATATTCAATCTCGTTTCGAACCTTCAGATCCGACCCATTCCTATAATAAATAATGGACTACGTATGAGATATCATTTCCTTGGCGCCTACCTTGTCATTAGTTATAAAGTTGGTATGTTATTTGCGTACGAAGTGACGTCTCGTTGCCCGCCTTAAAAACTCATGGCGCGGTGGTTTGAGATTACAGCAAGCGCCTAACTTCCTGGACCAGTTCTGACAAGCAGAGTTCGTTTGAAACGTATGATTGTGTGGATACTTCAAATCGCATTGTCAAATTACACAAATCACAAAAACATTTACAGCTAACAACAGATAATATATGATAAATTTAGTTTTCTGAATATATATAAGAAACCAATGCCTTCTTGGGTCATTAAATTATTAATATTCATTCAATTCATTTATTTATTTGAGTGCTTGGCAACAGCCAAAAAGGCCAATAACAGCCGAGCACTAACAATACAAAAAAATAATAAAAGTAAACATAGCAATACAAAAACAAATAATGAACTAAATATATAAATGTACAATATAATAATGATAATAAATCAATTCATTAATTTATTGCAAAATAATGAACAGTAAATGAGCTAAATAATATGCCTAAAAGTGAAACATTAAAATAAAAACAAACAAACAAATGAACTAATTATATAAATGTACAATATACAATTCAATTCATTTATTTACGTGTTTGCCAAATTAAATACTTCAATTCTATAATTAAATTCTTTATTTAATGTACTCACCAACAGCTGCTATAGCCAATTACAGGGCAACACAAACAAACAAACAAAATACAAAGACAACACAGAAAAAGGAAGAAAAAAAGACATTAAAAACTTAATAGATAACATAAAAAGCAAATTTAAAGTACAAAAGTAACAAATAAGGTCCACTCTAGGTATTGTCCCTTATGGAATAAGTGTCATCAAAAGAAACATTGATTATACCAAAAATGTCCAAGAATGTACAAACATAATTAGCAGCAATGACACACCTGGCTGAAGGACTGTGTCTAAGCGCACCGCACACGCAAAACGTAGAAAATTCTCTTATTTGCCTTGACGGCACACATTTATGATTGTACACTAAAATCCGAACCGTCAAAGTGATACATAACATGTCTTCATGCTCAATATATCGATCAATCGATATTCAGTAAATATCGGTTAGCAAATATGTGTTAATTTAAACAGTACATGTTGGGAATACGAAGATGAAAAAAGTTTATACACTAAATAATAGGCGCATTTACTAAATATATTTTTAAGTACTACTAAAATTACAGAAGGTAACAAAGTTGCAAGTCTAAATGTCTTCGGGCAAGAAGAAAATTTGATTCTCTCTGATAACTTCCTCGTACCCTTCGGTAAGATGGACTGATCAAAATTTTAAACAGAAACTACCACAGAACTGGTCCATAAAGTGTTCTTCCTGCTTATTTAAAAATTTGCTCATTTTCTAAATAACTACCTAATTTTTCGTACAGTTGTTAAACCAATAGGCTCTAACATTATTTTTGCTAACTTAATTAAATTAAGAACTATATAAAAATACCGTAATTAAAATGCTGGTTATGATATATCGATACCACAATACAGACAGAGCCGATATATCGACTAATGATATTCGATATGTCGGAGGAAAAATATCGATATGAGAATCGATCCATACGACCGGGCAGGTATAGGTTATGTATGACTCGGACCAGTTATTTCTAATTTTCTTCATATATATTATTAAATATTTAGGTAAGTGTTATAATCAGGAACAATAAATTTGGAAAAATACAGTGTCTTCTTGGATAAAGAGTGTGTTTCATACATAAGAGTCTATTACATTCGTCGTAAAATCTGGAAAAGCCCACATAGTATAGCAAATTATGCTAGGGTACACTCATACTGTATTACGTCATGGTTACAGGTCTTCATGAATGGGTAACAGATGACGCAAGCTTAAAATATTTTCGCGTGTGTGTGCGTTCGGACTGATAAACGACTAGGAAATGTTGCGTACAAAACTACCAATTGTCTGTAATTCTGCGACATCGCAACCACTAATCCTTGCCATATAAATTAAATCTGACTTTAATATCAAAAGTGACACAAGTACAATGCTTTTTCGTAGCGCGGATGTGGTTTATGGTTAAGAAGCAAGGCGTGGTTCGAACACCTTGAAGTTTTCACGGCCAAGGGTAAGCCCACTGTAATAATATATTCATTTTAATGTCAGCTTTTATAAGGGAATCAGGTAAAATTTATTTGTATCCTGTCAGAAGTCAGGTTCTGACGACGACGAATATGAACATGGCTGACACCTTGGTCATTACGCTGTGTATTCTGGTAGAAGTTTACAGACGTTTCAGAACCACTTACTGCCTCCATCATTACGTAAACTTCAATTAGACTACACAGTGAAATAACCCTGACGACAGCCATCAAGTTCAATATTTCTTTATTGTATTCCAACTTCATTACGAATTGTCCAAAAATACATTCATTCGGATTCGAACCTGTGATCCCAGCGTACGAGTAGTGTCAAATTGTCCCGCGTTGTCATGGAAGCTATCAATTCTCTGCTGTTTATAGCAGCAAGTCAGTATTCAATGCAAATATACATAACGCGTAGAAATTATTTATAAAATAACGATAAAGACATTCGAGGACGATTATATAATATATTTTCTCTGGATTACTTGCAGATACAGCTAACTAAAAATTTACATATTATTCATCACTATTATCTTCGATTCAACTTTGTACATTCTATACGATTCTGTTACGTAACCCACTGTAAACATTTTTTTCTCTCCAATCGTTACATCGCATTTTATGCGTAAAGTCAACATGTACGTATATCACATTTATAATAAGTGATTTCATTGCTCAGTTTGAGCCTAGTGGTTGAATATATTTTTATTCCTTGAGACCTGAAAATCTTTATTTAACGATGGATTTTTAAAGTATAGGTTATGTAGCGTCCAGTGACTGGGTGAATGTATGAATCACATATCGAAAAATATTTAAAATAAAACTGTATTGACATATTTGAAGGCAATATCCCCGCGTTTGGCTGGAGGGACTGAAGAAAACCATGACGGTTCTTTCACAGTTATCACACGCGGAGATTCCACCAGGTACAAAGACACTGAAGTTTGTAGATCCACTTTCGTTAGAGGTGAAAGGCATGGCTTTAGGAGGGGCGGGAGGGGTAACAGATAGAGCTTATACTATCCATACTACAAACATTATGTCACAATGGCAGTATTTGTTACCTCGCTGTCTCAGTTTCTACGTCGGTAATGTCTTTGGTTTAGATAGTATGCGGGTTTGTTTTCGTCAAGTTGGTGTTGTGGGCAAAACAAAAGCGTAACGTGTAGCGAGTTTAGTGTTCACAAGTATGTTTAAATTTAGAGTTGAAAAAAATTGTCTGACAGCCTCAAGTTCATGTTTAAATTGTTTTAGCGTTATAATTTTTCACTTAAAAAGTCAATAAACCTATTTTGGAGACTTTCGAACGTTGATTATAATGTAGTAACGAGTTTACACGGCATCAAAAAGTTCATGTTTAAATTGTTTTAGCGTTATAATTTTTCACTTAAAAAGTCAATAAACCTATTTTGGAGACTTTCGAACATTGATTATAATGTTATTATAGGTTTTAGCGCCGTGTAGACTCGTCAGTAGGTGCCAACGTTTTGGGAAAATAACATCTTCAAGTTTGACGCTAGAGGTAATATGTTTATTGTATATGCTGGCGTGTAGTAACGAGTTTACACGGCATCAAAATCCACACCACCTTGAAGACCTGAATTGTCCGAATGTTTTTCGTTTCTGAACATTTACGTTGTCAACCCTTTCTACGGGCAGAGCAAATATTATTTAATATTTAATGTTAGTAATTATATCACTATTTAACCTTCGTTATTTTACTTAAATAATCCAATTAAAATAGGTTATAATTAATCCGATGATATGGAAATTAACTGTTATAAAAATTGTTAAGGCTGTCCGTCATTTGACAGCGATTAAAATCAATTTCGTCCTTTGTCTCACTGCTCAGATTTATAATAAACTTTTGGTTAGGAATGTCCCGCGTATATTTACTATTTTCATTCAACTTTTGTGTTGGCAGTAGTCATTCCCACAAGACCAGTTTTCTTAGTGTTCTTTCGCGATGACAACTACCTTAGGGGCTCAACCAGCGGTTAGGCACGTAATTGTCTCTAAACACTGTGTAAAGGGAATTGAACGTCTGTACTCAGTGGACTGCGTGATTATACGACCTTCCCATATAATTATCATTCATTATTGATATACAAGCTCAGAATAAAGAGTACAGACGCCTGTAGCATTAATTAAAGCTCCTTTTTACAGCGATGATAAATTTACATATGATTATCTATTCACGTGCATCGCACTTTAAAAAAATCGTTGTGAAAATAGGACTTCATAAGAATTAGGGAGTATATTAGGGACTATCAGCTTCTGAAGAAGGATTTTTCTGCACAGAGATAATTATCGTTATCAGATTCTTGTATAATACGAGGTGTGAATGTTTAGTCGATGTTGAACTATAGCCAGTTAACTTTACCTCGTAGTCCAGTATCAACTTCTTTTAATTTAACATGATTTTTCGTGTAATCAGTGCAGAAATAAATATGGAATTCGAGATGTATCTAAATATATCAGTTCATTACTTTAACAAAGGGGGAGATGGAATAACACATGAAAGATGATATTACGTCAGAGAGGAAATATAGAAGCTTAAAAAAAAAAGAAAACAAGAAACGAACACATGGAATAGTTAAGAAAGACACTGAAAAAATATATTATAAGAATACTAAAAATAACACAGACAAAATACCAAGAAATTCAACAGAATGTATTTGATTATACCGCGGAATAGATTTAAACTGTAAGAAGAAATCGATTTGGACCCAATACAAAATAAATTTGGGCGATGTAAACAAACCTGGAATATAGACAGCCAGAAACAAATTCTTTTTACTGTAAAATGAATATTGAAATGACCATCAAAGATCATAACACACGGTTACTATCTTCATGCCTAAACACGGCATCTGTTGAAACACTGGATAGATAACAAGTTAGGAAACGTGTGCATGGTTTGATGATTCTGATGCTTTCGCTCTGTTGTTTCCTCACTTTCTTAATATCCTCTAAAAATAGCTCAAGCAGAAATGAGAACCCATTTGTTCCGTC